TGAAAGAGCCGCCGCGGAATCTGAGAAATCGGCTGCCCTGAAAAAGGCTTCAAAGAATGACGAGCAAACAGCAACGAATGCAGACGGAAACTTGAATGAAAAGGAGATGCCCAAAAACATAACTGGATCAGGTCTAAGAGCTGAAGATGTGGCAAGACAATCGGATTGGTATGCAGCGAAGCGCAAAAGGGAGCAAGCCGCACTCGCAGAAAATGATATGAATGGCAGTAAATCTAAATTTGCTTTGCCGAAGAGTGGAAGGAGCGGCGAAAATTCCAACTCCAGTGAACTAATGGCGAAATTTGGTGAATATAGGAAACCGGTGCTTCGCCCAGATCAAAATTCAAGGCACCTATCGCATGATAGGCAGGCTCGCCTTAATGCTGCCAAACATAAAGCGGATGTGAGCAAATCAGTAGTGGACTTACTGAATCCTTATTATAAGAAGAAGATCACCACGAAAGATCTCTTCAAAACATTAGCCAAAAGGATAACAAATCGTGTTTGTGAAGGCAAATTGGGTGAGTTATAAATTATAGGTACATTAAAAATCCTATGTAAAATTTTATTTTCGGTTTTTTTTTCAGAGTCGTCACATTGCAAGTCTTACATACGCGATACATTTCTCACAATCAATGAGATTGCTACGGAAGCTGACATAGATAAATACTTTCCACTTACTTGAACAAATGGCTGGTACAAACCTAAGCAATTGCACGTTCTGATTGTGCACCAATACCTTTCATGAAAATCATTCAATCGCGTGGTGAGCATATGTGGAAATAATTTGAATTTTAAAACCTTGGTGGATATACATATATTTATAAGCATTAAAGCTTAAGTTGAGATTCCGTATTATAATATTGCAAGACAACGTACAATTAAATTTTCTTGTAATAACATAAGGCATTCAAAAGAAAAGAATGAATTGATCTTATTTTTCGTATACAATTTGGGCGCACTGATGCATGGTTGCAAATGTATTGTCCAAAACAAATAAGCAAAACACATTTGAAATGTGTTATTCTCGCAAAAATGATAAGTAGCAATAATTTTCACGAAAGGTACATATATTTAATTTAAGCTCCCGGAATTCTATGAATATGTTATTTTATTGAAAAAAAAAAAAATATTAACTTAAGCTGCGTTATTTCTAACAAATGGGTTTAATGGCTCCGTAAGGATATCAATTACTCAACTTCTGTGGCCAATTATAAATGGTAGTAATTAAAGTTAATTCTCTGCTGGCTGTAAGTGGCTTCTGTTTCCTATATTCGCTCGTTTACATAGACATTACTTTTGAAACATATAAATGTAGTAGTATTTAAAGGAGTGCATGCGTACATATGTATACATTTAATTAATATAAATCATACATATGCAATTACATATAAATATCAATATGTAAATATTAAAGTGTAGAATGTCATAATATACTGATTAAAATATGGACAGTGCTATACATATTTTAAAAACAAAAAAGGATGATGTGTTTTTTTTTTGTTGTTAGCCGCGTACGTTTCTCCTAAGTGACTTCTATTTTTGAAGATTTCAGAGACTTTGTAAAAGCTTAAACAGACGGCAGCTTTGATCCGGACTAACTCGGACTTAATCCGGATCAACTGCAGTTAATTCCCGAGTTGATCCGGATCAACGCTGCCGTCTGTTTATGCTTTAAGTCGTGCTTAGGAGAAGTTCCAATTGGTTATTCGAAAAATTTGTGGTTGTAGCATAAAACTATTGCAATTTCGACGCTGCTGTGAGCTCTTTAAAAAAAGAGACGCTTTGTGGCTGGATAAATTGTCTACCCTTATTGTACATAAATTGTTGTTTTAAAAGCAACTTACCTCACTAATATTGATCGTTCCCACGACAGTCAGGCCTGCGTAACCGAAACGACCCAGATTTATGTACATACGTATGTACATACATATGTATATCTGACCAAGGACTGTCACTCCAGTATCACTGCCCAAAAACTCTGGGGAATTTGTATGCTGCTACAACAATAACAAAAACTAAATATTGCTACTGAAAGCTGTTGCATTCGTTGCAAGTTACTATTAAAATTTTCACTAAATTTTTCACACATGAAACATATCTACATGCATACATACATGTTCATATATATATATATATATGTATTAAGCCCACGCACATACTATATACATATGTATGTATAACCGAAGCGACACTAAATTTACACTTTCACAACACCCGCTCTTATATTTTATGCATTTTCGATAGAGACATCACTCGACTTCAACACCCGATTTATCTAATTTCGAATGATATTTAAACGAAAATTTTCAATTTGTTTACTTTCAATAGCTTGGCTCTAATTTTCACAAACGCAAAAAAGGAAGTGGTTGTAATAGCGGCGGAATTTCACGAAGAACAGAGTTGCACTTTACTCAATTCAGACTCATTCACAATAGCTAGAACAAATGAAGAGAATTTGTATAAATTTAAAAATATTTCTGTAAAAAGTGTAGACGATTGAAATACTATGTCAAAATAATTCAATTTACTTTTAATATGTATTCCAATGCAAAGTTATACTAATTTAGAATCCATTTGATTTTGTATGCTTGTTGGCACTAAAGTTTTGCTGGAATCAAATGCAACCCCGCGCTTGTCAAACTTCCGCCGCCATTCCAATCGTTTCCTTTCGCGCGTGTGCAAAAATTGGTTACTAAGTAGTCGAAGTGAAAAATAGAAATAAAGTAATAAATATTCTACTACATTAGATTAATTTAGTGCGAAATTGAAGGCAAATAAAGTTTTTATTGAAAGTGAGCCTGGACGTTGTTTTCAAGGTGGTTATAATGAAAGTAAAAATGAAGGCTAGCCAATGATAAACTTATGTATGCGTGGGTGTGTGAAAATGTGAAATAAGCGCTATTTGTCATTGTCATTTATTGAACAGGAAAATTAGTACAGTGAGATTTTGAATCTTTTATCTTTAAGATGAAATAGCAATTTAACTGCTTTGCATTAGTATCAGTGGATATTAATGGAGTTAGAGAGGTAAGTTGAACATTATACAAATATACAAGCCTTTAATTGACTCAACAAGTATGTATGCTTGTATGTTAGGGCTGCTCAATTTTTATGGGAGATTTTTTCGACTATGCGCGTAAAGCACAGATGGATTATACGTGCAATTTTTAGCCAATTTGCGAAGGAGCCATAGGTCTAAAATCAATTTGGAATTTGCCAATTGGCGAATATCGGTTTACTAGCATTTTGCTGTAGTGTCGTAAAAAAGTGCTTAAATTTTGTATAAAAACTTACTATAAGGGGTTGTTTGGTGTGACAAATTCATTTCTGCTCTTTTTTCTTAAATTTTCTACCAGAGGGCGCAACAGTAAAAATTTTGCACAGTTTCTTCTAAACCCATTTTCGTAATTTGGCAAACTCCAAATTGATTTTAACCCATGGTTTCTTCGGCAAATTGGCCTGCCCTAAAGTATGTGTGTATGTATGTTTATATTTATTCCTCGGGTAGGCCGATAGCAGAGTTGCGGTTTACATTAGTTCTGTTCGCTATGCAAAAAACATGTACAAGCTGGTACCAATTGTTATTTAATCGCGTTCGTTTGGACAAAAAACTTGCAAGGAGAGAGCGCATTTTTGACATTCCATTTGGAGGCGAAGTTGTAAATTCGTGCTGGGAAAAATTTTGCCAGCAAGGCTTTGCAAGCAGGATTGTGGCACACGATTGCATTTGGTCAACAATAATTTAAATCAACAAGTTCGTTAAATTTAAAAATGTACAATCTAGCCGTGATTTAGTAATGAAAGAAGTATGTAAATATTTGTTTATTCAATTAATTTAAATAATTACAATGATTTGAAAGGTACTCTGCTGAAAAAGCTGTATCCGCAATCGGAAGGTAGGCGACACCACTTTCGATATAGGAAATCCGACAGTGACTACCACAAAAAAAACACAAGCGTATGTTGAAAAAAGTCAGAACATGAATAAATATAAGTTTTGTTTTCCAGTTCCAATAATTAAAAAAAAATATATTATGTTCTAAATGCAGCCGTGGACGCCAGGTGGCACTGCAGCTTGCGAATTTCTTCAAGAAAGTGTCAAACAGCTTTTTCGAAGTTAGAATTTCCTCCTCCCGAATTTCCCTGGGAGTTAATTATTGGAGAATTTCTTTCTCGGGAGAAATAATTTCCCGCAGAAAAAACTCCCCGGGAGTATTTAGAATTGGGCTGAGTAAGTTTCTCTCTTTGGGAGAGTAAGTTACCTTATTCTCTGAATTTTGCTACTGGCTAATTCTCACTGGCTTTTCCAAACGAACACAACTTTCAATAAAGTAACCTAAAATGAAATACCGTTGCTAGTAATGAATCATAACTAAATTAAATAAAACAAAAAATTAAAATAAAATTAAATAAATTAAAAAATATGTACATATACATTTGTATGTATGTATGTATTTGTAACAAATTTAACGAAAAATTATACCAAATAAACGAATTAAAATAACATGAAATGGTATGAATAGAAGTGGAATGACCATTTAACAAAATTTGTCCAACATTACATTCTGGTATCCTGTGCGCCAAAGGAGCACATCTGAAGAAGTGTATGGCATCGAGCGCCATCAAACATGTTCGCACCCATCAAAGTTCGTAGTTGGAGCTGTGTGCGTATCCAACGACTTCCCCAACATGAACAAAAAAAAAAAACACCACACAATGCCAAACAATACTCCCAACTCACGTGCGCCTATGTATGTGTACATTATTTATAAATATACATATATTTATGGATATGCGAGTGAGATACATTTGTAACTGGTCGCTTGCAACAAAAAAACTCCGGTTTTTTTTTTGTTACTGCTGTCGCTCGACGGCGTTGCTGGCACTGTAGTTGTGTGCGTATTTCGTATGGTTTTCGTTTTCGGGAAAAATGTTTCATTGAGGTCCAGCCGGCAGGCCGCTCTTCGCTCAACGCTCATTCGTAGTTCTCTGTCCGCGCGGTGCGGTTGTGCGAGATTTTGTCGTTAGCGGTGCGCAAACACAACCAGTCTACCTGCCGAGCGCAAATTTCGTCGCTGAAAATTAATATTTTTTTTTGTGTAATTCGTATAGATATATATATGTATTTAAAAATGCATAAATAAAACAGAAGTGTGTGCGTTATAAATATATTAATTAAAATGAGTTTCAGTGGTTAATCCGAAAAAATTACTGAACATAAATTTGAGTAGAGTTGACTGTGTGCGATTGTGATACATACAGAGATTTCGAGAGGAAATTGCATTTAAAAATTTATGCTGCACCGTGCAACTTTTTTTAATATAAAAACAAGTGATTTTTATATAATTTGTATTATAAAATACCAGAGCGAGCGCTCGCTTAAGAATTATATGTAGAAAAAATAATAATAAGTTAATTGCGTACAACTTTCTACTGCCAGTGTTTAAAATAAAAATTCCAAATCTTGTAAACATTCTGTCGCCATTCATAGAATTCGGCCATCACCTCTCTGTGCCACAGTCAATACTCGCTAAGTGTGCCTTTAAATAACACCCACTAACTAAACAATCGAGCAACCCAGCTAGCTAACAACCGTTGAACACCTCAAAAAAACCTCCCTCACACCCGGCGTATTCGCTTGGAAAAAGCACTGCTTACAATCCTCGGCGCAGTCTGCGAATTACATGTGTCACTCATACACTCCGCTCCCTGGACACCCCGCGTGGCCTACAATATTGGCGACGTCGCTTGTGTAGTAGACCGGCGAGCAGCAAATATCGGACACAAATTAAATTTTTTTGTTTACGTTGAACCAACCCGCCGGAAAGCCCCGCAGCGCGCACCCAGTGAGACACCGATTGATACACAGGCAGCGTAGTTTTTTTTTACCTTTTCTTACATATATTTGCAAATAATGATGCAACATATAACATAACCAAAACAACAATTACAACAAACAAACCGATAGCCATAAAAAGCAATAACAACTAGCGCGTATTTGACCAGAGGGTGTTGGCGACGTGCGAACGCGTGTGTGAGTGTGTTAAAATCATTTGCAAATACAGACAATCAGACAGACACCAGTAGCAAAAAAAAAAAAACCAAATAAAAATCAGAATAATTAAATAAAAGTTCGCAAAGCAAAGTGAGATACGCATACGGCGGCAACAGAAAAGGTGGTAGTTAATTACGCTGCCGATATAAAAAAAGTAACGCCTGGTGCGTTGATATAGCGGAAGTCAAAAACGTACTAATATTAAACAAATTTTGTGATCTTTTTTCGCGTGTCAAACAAGCAAAACAAAATATGCATCAAACAAGCAGAACTTTGAGTGCGCCCCATTCGTCCGCCACAAGCTTCGCACTGATCTCCAACAGCAAGCGCAGTGCTGCCGGCGCTAACAAGCATCAGCACTGTCGTATGCAGTCTGGCTTATCAGCTGTCACCTGCCAATTCTTTAATATCAATTGTAACTCATTTTCGATGCCGTCATATCTAATTTTGTTACTTTTCTGCCTCGGCGCTCAGCGTAACGCAGCGCTGGTACACGCACAAGATAGCACTACCGCGGCTGGTGCAGCGGACGCCGCGCCATCACCTCATGCCGCCGCTTTAGCCTCACCGGGCACGGGCGGTGGTTCGTCGATTTTGGACCAATTCAGCCCCAATTGCACTGCAGTTTCGCATATCTTTCAGGCGCGCGGCATCGATCAAGCAGAGATACCACAGAAGCCGAGTAATGGTGAGTTATGTGGGGATTTTGATTTGAATATATGTAGAGCCCAAGGTATTCTTATTGGAAAAAATACTCGACATTGAGCTATTTTTCCTTGAAATTCACTTTTCGGTGAATAATAATAATATGTAGCTAAAGCCTTGATTCAGCATTTTTTTTTGTCTAATTAATCTCTTTTCCTCACCAAAGCACACTTGGCCAACATTTCCTAAAGAATCTGTAAGACATGCTAAAGTACATTTTATTGCCAAGTTGCTATAGGCTCGGAAGATTGTACTTTAAAATTTTGCCAGTCAACTACGTGACAATTTACTTTAATCAAACAACCGAGGCAATGAGGCTTAAGTTGCCATTATCGCTGGGTGGCGCTGCCTTTGATGAGACATGTCACTTAAATATAATTTTGATGGGTTAATTCATGGGGATTAAATTCCTTTGGCGAATGAATTAAAATAAAATAAAACATTATGGTATTCAGATTTTTGTGTAAATTTTATGACGGCAGCTGTCAAAACATAATTTTTTCATGGACATTTTTTTTTTTGATAAAAAGCGAAGGCAAATTTTTTTAAGCCCAGCCACACTTTGATCTTCGCGCCACCGAGTGATTTTAAGTATTCTATAAATTTTGTACAGCTCCAACAACACTTCAAATCGAGCCAATTATATACATGCATATCTAAGTATTTTACAACATTCCATATCAGCTGACCACAGTAAAAAGAGTTAGCTGAATTATTAAAGTAACACACTCATACGTGCAGATGTACACACATCCATACATATGTAGTATGTATGTAAATATGTACATATATGACAATTTAATGAGCTGGTGCGGGGGCAAGACTTTTCGCGTAAGCAAAACTGAACATTCAAATGATTTGATGAATTTTTATTAGAGCATAGACATAACGACGTTTTTGTTAACTTAATGGAATCAGTTTTATTGTAGTGGCGATCAGCTTTTAACGATGTCTCTAAGCAAAATGTAATTAATAATTTTATGAGTAAAAAAAATGAAAATTATGATAATGCGCGGTAATAAAATTGTGACGCCTTTCACGCATATTATAAAATAAAATACATAATTTAATAATTTTCCGTAGAAAAATATTTGGACATTTTCTCCCCCTTTTAAAATTTACTGAATAAACGAATTTTGTTGCAAAAAGATTAACACAAAACTAAAAAAAAATATATATATATAAATCAAAGTGATTAAAACCAGGAAGTTAAAAGATGTTAGTTCGAAAAAAAAAACATTTCTTCACATTTTTTTTATTAATTCTAGTTGTTCCCAAAGTTTTTTATATACATACTGAAATTTTCTTTATATTGATTTATTTTTATATTTATTTCCATTTTCTAGTAATTTTTTATGTAAGTATATAATTTTATTTTCAAAGTTTTTGTTTCAGTTAAGTTAATTTTCTTGAGAAAAATTGGTCCGACTATTAAAATTTACTTTTTTTTTGAAAAAATAAACAAATACAAAAACTAAAAAAAATAAATTTAAATTAAAAGAAAGTATTTTAAAACGGAAGTCCAAAAGAAATTAGTTTAAAAAATGTATCCTAGTTTTTTTTTTTAATTAGTTCTTAATTGTTCTTTTTAATATCTTAAAATTATTTTTGATATGTTTTTTAATTCTTTTCACTTTTTTGTAAGTGTTTCAATTAATCCAAATATAGTTCAAAATAACCTTTTTCAATTTTTCTAAATAAGATTTTAGCTATTCTTACTTTTTTGTCGAATTTCTCAATTTCTTTAGTTTCTCTTTAAATTTGTTTGTTGTTTTAATTTGTCCCGAGAAATCGTACTAAAAACAGCTAAATCAAAAATAAAGTGAAGTTAAAAGTGTCTTATTATTTTTTAATTAAATCTTTTTTTCTTAATTTTTTGCCTTAAAATTATTTATCGAATATTTTTTAACTTTTTTGTTTTATTGTTTAAAAATTTATCGTTTTTTTTTAATCTTTTATATTTTTCCAAAATTTTTGTTCCAGTTAATCCAAATTTGATTCAAAATACATTTTTTATTTTTAGATTTTAAATAATGTTCGTGCTAATTTATTGAGTTTCTAATTATTTCAGATTCTTTTGAACTTACTGTTTGACGAAATTTATTAAGTTTTGGTACGTTTTGTGTAAAATTTGAAAAAAGGTTTAATATTTTGCCAATTTTTTGTTAGTATTTTTCCCGAAGAAATAAATAGCAAAGTAAAAAAAGTGAAGTTAAAATAGTTAGTTCAAAATTAAAACAAAGTTTATTTATATATCTTAAAACTTTTTAAATAAATTTTTTTAGTTGTACCACTTTCTTGTGAGTTTTTTCTGTAAAAATGCATGATGTTTTTAATTTTCCAATTTAGTTTAATCCAAACTTTATTAAAAATAATTTTTTTGTAATTTTTCAATATTCTAGCTATTCTTTCGTTTTGTTGAGTTGCCCAATTTTTTCGGTTTTCTTCGAATTTACTCTTTTATTTATTTTTTTACTTTTTGGTACTTTTTGAGTAAAATTTTAAATTCATTTCCTTCAATTTTACATTTTTTCACCATTTTTGTTATTTTTTTTTTGTTTTTAAGTTTTAAAGACTTTTATTAGCTTTTCTCATTGTTAAACACTCAGCAGGGAACATCTTGGAAAAAAATTCTTTTTTTAAGGAATGCACTTATGTATATTAGACTGCATCACCAAAACAAGTTGCGGTTTTTCCGGCGGGATTATACCATGTTCTGACCGACATCGAAAACATGTTTTCGTTGCTTTCGTCCATGTAAAATCTGTCAAACGAAAACTAGTTTTCGCTGAAAACTACTTGAAAACTCACGTTCCACTCATTCCAATCGGTGTCTTCACTAGCTTTTTCAATTATTTATCGAAGTGGAAGTCATATTTTATCATCTTTAATACGCCATTTCGGATTTATTGTTAATTGGCTGGCAAAAGTAAAATAAGAATGAAAGTAAGAGGTTGCTAATGAAAAGAAAATGAGGGAAAAGCATTTTGGTTTTGTTTTTGTGTAGTAAAACTGTAATCAGAGGATGTAAGAAATGTCAGCGAAAACGCTAACAGCCGGTGTGAACAGCCTTCAGCCCACAATCTCAAAACACGTTTTCAAAGTGTTTTCGTTGTCGGTCAGAACATGGTATTACAAAACCTAGTATATTTGAAGACTTCTACCAAATTATTTCGGAAAAATATCTCTAAAAATGGAGTTTTTTATGAATAAAAATAGTTTCTTAAAGGATTTTTTGAACAAAATCCCCTCAGATCATATCAAAGCCCAATATCTCAAGAAATATCGATACGAGCGATTTGATGTTCTAGAACTATTATTATAGGAAATTCAATGACCTACAAGTTTGTGATTTGTAATTATTCTGTATCTCTCGTTATTTGCGAGATAGGGGGAAAAAACTGGAATTTAATGAAAATATTGGGTTTCGTGACCCGTACTAGCTTGGTGGTGTGAGTTAGGATTACACCGCAATCAACACTTTTGTAGAACGTTCAATTCTGAAGAAAACCCATCATTGACCAATATTATACCATAAAATTCCTCTGAGATATAGAATTTGAAGAAAAATAATCAAAGTTTACGTGCATTTTATCAGGGAAATTTTTACACGCCTTGGGCGAGTACTTAATATTATTATTAAGGGTTAAAATTTTCAGGGAGTTTTTTTTTGGTGTTTTCCACAAAATTTCGGGGTAGGAGTGAAAAAAAAAACAAAAGTCGCAAACAAAAAAGGCACCCTAATGTATATCTATTGAACTTTTGCTGAGTTAAACTTACTGACCTATCCAAAATAGCAGGTAATAATTAGTAAATCCATAGTGAAACCAATTTAAAAAACAGAGCTCAACACATTTACGACAATTCACTAGACTTACGGCGAACATAAAATCACATTTTCTTATGTTTTTTACTTGCGAATATTCTCATAAAACTTAGTAGTAAATATGATTGGCCAGTAAAGAAACTAAGAAACTTACCGATTTACGAGGTACTAAACGAGATACGAGTAATTGTAGGTAATCACATGTGCATACATATTACATCCAGACGTTTAGATAACAAGCGCAATCTATAAGCATTTACCTGTGGCTGAACTCGGATATCTAACTGCCTAGTGCTGAGCGATGCGAGTATAAATAGCGGTACGTAAATATGTATGTATTTATGTATGTATATATACATAAATAGCAAATAACTATGCAGGTTGGGGCTGGGAGCGTCTCACTTCGGCTTTCAAGTTGCGGGCTGATAAAAATAAAATGTAGTAAAAAAGTATTTGTTAAAAGATAATAAAAATAGTTGCGCGTAGATAATGTTACGCATACCTGTTGCGAGATTATAAAACTAAATGGAGGCACATACATACATACTTACTATTTTATATAAATATACTTAACAAGTTATTCCCTTTCTTGCGCAGAATTGATCGATTAAATTTAATAACTGAAATTGCTGCAAGTCGAGAGTAGTTTAATCACCGCGCTTTATAGCCAGTGCAAATTAGTAAATTGTAGGTCAGCTTTTAAACTCAATTAACAGAGGCTGCACTTAATTTTATAACGCAAAAAATGTAGTAAATCAACAAGTAGTAATTTGTTTGTCTACAATGCTTAGTAAAATATCTGCTGAATCATTTTTTTTAGAAAATTTCTGGGACTGGGTTAATTTTAGAAATGAATTTATAAAAGACGGCAACACATTTGGCAATACAGCTTACGAAATGAATATCTTTTCAGAAATTAGTGAGTTATTATCATTCCAGTTACCAGAGCTGTAAAATGATTGAATCAACATAGTCTGCATTCACTCGGCATTCCTTTCAAAATGTTGATTGTTGGTTTGTATAAATAAAAACTTCATTCCTGAGTGGCTTAAAATATTTTAAAACAAACAAACTGTGTTTTGTTGTTGAATGCTAGATTGCCATTCAGTATTGAATGTGAATGTTCAGCAGCATTCGCACTCACACATGATTGTATA